TATCATACACACTGTTCTAGTCATAGGTTATTTTCTGTAGTGCTATTCCAAATACATTGGTACAATGTAGAATGTCAATTCAGTTTTAATACTTGGTACCTTTTAAACTTTCTCTATTACTCAATTTAGTGTTTCTGATCCATAATTCTGTTGCCAAATACCAAGAAGTGGATTAAAGACAGCTATTTGCACTTCCTGACATGTCCTTGAGTGGACTTGTGTTAAAGTCCTGGCTCATACAGATATTGGTGTTTTGATATACTGAATTTCCATTGTGCATGTTTTTAAAGCAAACACATTTTTTTTTTGGTTGAGTTAAAATTGAGTGGCCTTGTGTTACAAAAATATTCCACTAATTTGGTTGTATTGAAAACTGAAGAATCATTTTTTATAGTGACATGACTACATATATTAGGCCAGAGCTGGCTCATACTTGTCATGTTTACTATGTTATATTTAATTATGGTCCTTAAATTATCAAAACTATTTTCATCCTTTTCTGGTGAAACTTTCCTAGAGTGAAGACATGAAAGTGAAATATAAGGGATATTTAAAATGGTCTATATGTATTATGATGAATGCCTGTCTGAATTTAGAGGCTTCTGGGAAATCACTATACAGACTTAAATAAAAGTTCTCCTGAGAAATTGCAACTTGTGCAGTTTTCAGTAGTACAAAAAAAAGATATTTTACCCCACATTTGAAACCTTGTAAAAACAGTGTTGTTCTGGTGTTGTTCAGGGACCTCCCTGAATTAAGTAATTGAAGGTTTGTTTTAGTCTCGAATTTTGCAAATTGTCAAAAATAAGAGTAGACCATCTCTTGCAAATTTAATCTGAACAAAGTTTTATGAACTACAAACTAATTTGAACAGGTAACAACCAGTAATGACATTAAATTTGCTTTGCTATGGTTCTCAAGTTTAATCATTATCTATTAATTTGTTTGGAAAAACGGCATACTTCTACTGACATTGTGAATTGTAACTTTTACAGTTCAAGTGCTCAACTGAATAATCGAGCAACTTCTAATTCTGAGTATTTAGAGTTTGTTGCATATTTTTTTCCTATACTGTGTCAATTAAGCCTGGTATGTACCTCTCGTTGGTATGAATTGTATGTAGTAACTGGTTGAAATGTAATCAAAGTGAACAAAAGTCAGTTGAATGAGAGAAGCGTCATTTCAATGGGAACACTAATATTTGGAGTACCAATGAAATCACCTCTTCACTCTGTGTGTGTAGGCTATGTATGTATAACTTCTGTGGGAGTTCTAGGTAAATGTCAAATGGTTTGGCATATAGTTGAGGACTAAGTGGTTTTCATTATATTCACTAGCATTCAGAAATACACTTGAATGCATATTTTCCAGAATGTGGATCATCTCCAGACAAAAGGCGGTGTCTTCATTCAGACTGTGCTTTTTAACCTTCTTTGCTCTGAAAAGCATCACTGTAAAATCTGCTTCCAGCTCTTTGTGGTTCTAGAGCGTTACCTGTTAGCCTTGGTGACTCAGACAAGTGCTCCTTTGGTTTACACTGCAGTACTCAACAGTACTCTGAGAGAAACTAACTTTCCTTTTAAGGAAGAGCATGTTATTTAAATTCTCCTTGCCAAACCAGTTTGTGCCTGGGCAAACAGTTTAGTAGGATGATTTTAGTGAAGGTGTCACGAAGAGTATAATTTTGCCATGAAGTTCTTCAGGGTCATAAGGAGCGAAGTCCCCACTCTGTTTTGCATGTGTTTTTTAAATTTCATTATGTGTGAGGTGTAGCTCTTTGTTTGGGTGGGGTTTGTGTTGTTTTTTTTAAAGCTGGAACTTTATGCAGGCATTGCAAGTGACATGTGGCATCCTCTGGAATAGCTTCAAAAATAAAAGAATGTTTTTTAATGGCACAGTGGAACAATAGCTCAAAGATGTCAGTTGTTGCTTCAATTGCTTTGGCTTTTTTTGGTCTTGATTATTAGGATGAATTATATCTGATTATGATAAACTAATATTAAGTGTTTAATTCAAGAGGGATTTATGTTGTTGCAGATTACAATAGGCCTTATCAGCTTCAAGCTGGTGAGTCTTCACTGCCTGATCTAACTCACAGCTCTGAACAAGAACCACTGGCAGATTTGTCTATCTTCTCAGGTTTAGACAGATGGAAGTGAGGAAGACAAATGCACTGACAGTGTGTTTTATGCTTCAGTGAAGTGATAAATTCGCTCTATTAATTCTTAATATTTATTCTGAGACTACACTGTGTTTGTTTTAAAAACATAAATGCAGTATTATTCTTTCAGGAACAACATGCCCTTTGTCCATCTGACAGGGTTTATTTAGGATTTTAAGTCTAGCTTAGAGAGATATCTTGAAGCTACATTGATTAGGGCAACTAAAATGTTTTGTGGATGTGTCACTGGGAATGGAGGTAACAGGTTTTTTGTTGTCTTTAATGTTGTCCATCTTTCTGTTAGATTATACATATTTCTCTGAATAGAGAAAGATAATTTTAATGAGGGGAAACTTACTAGCCTACCTGTTTGTAGTTTTTTATATGCATTATTTTATTTTAAAACACTTTTAAAAGTTTGTCTGCGATTTTCATGGCATTTGTGTGTGTTCACAGATAAAATGTGAGTGGGTGTATCAGAATCAGATTCTTTTGTCAGACAGCTGTTTCTGCTTTTGAACAAGAGCTTAGTTTTTATCTTAATTCTCAAATGCACATTTTTAAGTCTTCCAATAGCATATTAAAGTACAAAATGATCTAATTAAAAATTTATACTACTAATAATTTGAGAATTAAACCCTAAAATAATGTTTTGCATTGCTCCACAGAAATCACATTTTTGGCAGTACTGTACTAAGCTTTTTTTTTTTCCTAAGTGCAGATTGTTCATGGAAAACATGTTTATTAACCATAAAAATTAGTGTCATACCTTACTGGCCTTCAAAGTTTTAATACATGAAGAAAAAAAATCTTCATGTTAGCAGCAGTTCCCTCTTAAAAAGCTGCTTTCAAAATAGAATAGTATACAAAGTTACAAATCGCTGCTTGCAAAGACAAGAGATCTGCTCTTCAATTAATATTCTTGTCAAATTCACCAAGTAAATATAAAAACTGCTGAATGAGGCACTTGCACATATTTTTATCCCCTTCTTCGGCTACTGACTCGGGTAATGAAGTGTAGATGTGGCTGTTACATGCCAGTTGGAAGGGGGCCAAAGCAGAGATGTTGTTTGTACATGTGCAGATGTTGGCAGGATTCCCTGCACTCCTGTTGTCAAAAGATCTTTTTATTGCCACCGTGTTATAAATATATCTGTGTTACAGCGTGGCATGCAGATATTGTGCTGGTAGTAGGAAGGGTGTTCACTTCTGAATAAACCTAGCTGCTCCTAGCATTTCTTGTGTGAAATGAATTTCAATGCACACAGAGCAGGGAGCATAATAGATGTGTTTTGAAGATCAGTGACTAACACTGTACTTTGAAAATCACTTTAAACCATTACATAAATCCCTGCTGCTGCTGGAAAGGAAAACTCTTAGCTCCTTCCTTCTTCTGCACCTGTCTGTTCAGGCCTTCTCCCTTCCTTTTACCAGTACAGTCCTAGCATGATGTGATGAGATGGATCAGGCTACTGATGCAAACCAGCCCAACCAGTACCAGCTGCCTTGCTTTCCAAATGACATGAAGGAAGGGATGGAAGTGAGTGTGCTTGGCTTGGGAGAGATGGACACACCTCTACTTCCAGTGGTAGCATGTCCTTTGCCAGCTTCAACTGTTTGGGGTTGAATTTGTGGGTGGAAATGGAGGCAAAGTCATAGGCAGGGCAGGATTGGTGTATAGAAAAGGAGAAGGGTGGAAAACAAAAGGAGTGGGGTGGTCCAAAGTCAAACAAAAATATTTAGGCATCCATGAATTGAATGCTGATAAAATGGAGCAATATGAAAATGTTATGCACAGTTGGTGAAATCAGCTAAACCTGTGTTTCTCAGAAAATGTAATCAGGTAAATTTTCTCCAGTATGAGTTTATATGATGTGGGTAAAGTAGTTGGAGTTTGTTCCTTTGTAAATAATTAATTTCATTTGATGGACAATGGCCATTTGCTTCTTGTTTTGTTTTGGTCCAGAACTGAATACAGTAGGGATATGTGTACTTGAAATATCACTTTTGTAATGTTTATTGATGCCGCAGCCAAATAAGGAACACTGAGTTAGCACATACTTCAGTTGTTGGAAGGTTATTTTGCTAAGCACAAAACAAGCAAAAAAAACCCCAAGAAAGGGGTTTTTCTGGAAAACCTGTCTGGAAGACAGATTTTACTTTTGATAAAAATGTTATGTGTCTGTATGTGATAAGCACACAGAGTATGTATGTAACAATTAATCAAGAGGTAGACTTTAAGGTATACTAGAAACATAAGATACCCTAAGTTTGCTTTTGTATCTTAATCCTTCTATAATCCTTTCTGTGAGAGATCTTGAGAAGATCCTTAAAGGAGTCCAGTTAACTGGGAAAAATGGAAGGGGCGATGTTGGAGAGAAGGAGGTGCCACTTTGTAAAGTTTTTTTCCTTTAGGTTATTAAAAGAATTAGTTTTAATTAAAAATATCAAATGCAAAGTTACCTTGGTGGGAAGCATACTTGCATTACTACAACAAATGTGTAATAAAACACCAAGAGATAAAGATGGTTGGTGGAATTGTGTATGTGAATATATATGTGTGTGTGTGTGTGTGTATAGTATATGGAAAGCTAGATATGGGTCATATGTTGTTTCAGGTCCTCCAACTCTTTCTGTTCATTAGTCCAGCAGGGCCTCTTGCTCACATAAATATATTTTGTGTTGTTTTTGTTTTCCCTTCAAAACTTAGAAGCATATGAAAATATAGTGTGGATGGATATTTACAGGTTTCTGGTCTAAATTTTATTGAAAAGCCTTTAAAAGTGTCTAAGCTGTTTTATATTAATTGAATCTTTAAAATATTTTTGAAATACAGAGTTTTCCATCTGACGAGGGCTGGCCATTCGCCAAGTACTTGGGAGCATGTGGAAGGATGGTGGCTGTCAATTATGTTGGAGAAGAGCTGTGGAGTTACTTTAATGCACCATGGGAGAAACGAGTGGATCTGGCCTGGCAACTGATGGAAATAGCTGAGCAGCTGACAAATAATGACTTTGAATTTGCACTCTACCTCCTTGATGTCAGCTTTGACAACTTTGCAGTTGGACCAAGAGATGGGAAAGTTATCATTGTAGATGCAGAAAACGTTCTGGTAGCAGACAAAAGGTTAATCAGACAAAGTAAGTGTCTTCTTTCACTGCCCTCACCCCACGTGTCTCACTTCTGCCTCTGCAAGTGCAATATTTAATGTATGCGTAGTTGCTGGATGCTTATTTTGTTGGCTTTACAACTAGACTACTAATTAACAGATTAATTAGCTTTCTTCTGGAAAGCTGTTTTCTTTTTCTTCTTTTTCTGCTTGCTTTTTCAATTAGACTACTAATTAACTTGACCAATATGTCACTTTCATGAGGTGTTGAGCATACCTGGACACGATTTACATGTACTTTTAAGCTCTGTAAACCTGCATCAATGGAGAGGTGGGGGTGGGAGGAGAGAGTTGTGGGCATTGGATGTGTTTGTACAGATGGATGGACAGACAGACAGGTAAGCTGCCTGGCTGTCTTTTCTACCTTAGTTAAGGTAGACAGTTCCTTCTGTCTTTTCCAGACATCTGTGTAAGGATAGAAGGCTTGGCATTCTATTGTCTGTGAATGACAAGGCAGTGTTAGTGCCTTAGTTCCACAGCCTGCCTTGGGTTTGGCTGTTCCAGTTGGTGCTCTGTAAGAATGGAACTGAAGGAATGGGTAATTTTATTTCTGTTTCCAAATGGGAATAGAGAAAATTCATTCATCTTTCTGTCAACTGTAAAAGCTCAAAGCAGTGGCAGCAGGAGAGATGTTTGACAAAGTGGCATTACATAGGTTTATATTACTTTTGAGCTTATAAGGAAAATGTGACAGACGTAAGGGCTGGAGACCCTGAGCATGAAACCCTGGGTTCTGCAGGAGACCCTGAGCATGAAACCCTGGGTTCTGCAGAGGTTCATGGCAACAGGCCAAGTGATTCCAGTCTGCCCTGGGTGAATGGATTTTTATTTAAACTTTGTGTATAAACTTCATACGTCGTGCTGCAGAATTAACTTTAAGACTGTTTTTCTATCCACATGCTTTTCTACAAGGAAGTGTGATTTGGGGTTGTTTGGTTGTTTTTTTTAATTAGATTTATTATATATCCTTAGGGACCTTAGATTAAAACTACCTGAGCCTACCAAGAAAACCTTTTAATGTATTGGATATTCAGTACATTTACTTTAGAACTTTCTTCTCTTTTCTTTTTTTTCGTTTTCCACCCTCTTAAAATAGTATTACTGACGACTTTGATTTTTGAAGCATGTTGGAAATTGCTTAGTCACAAATATGACCGAATGAACTCTGAAGAAGCTGATGTGCATGTGGAATAGGAACAAGTTGCTTCTTGCAGAAGCTGAATGCTGGAAGTGTCACACTTACATCTGTTGTCTGTAGTCTCAGACTAACTTGGCTCTAACTAGGATTTTACTGTGTGATTTGTGATCTAACAATCAAGAACAGAGAAAACAAATGAGGACATGAGAAAGATATTAGTCTTTGTATAAACTTGACATTTAATACTGATTTCATTAATCTTTCGGAAAGATTCGTGGAACAGTCTCTGTCCACAGTGATTAATATACCTGTTTAGATATTTGAATATGTACATTCTGTCCAGTTGCACTGTACAGTAATACTTAATACACTCTGTGTGGGATATCCTATTTGAGTTTGCTGAAGTCCTTTTTCCAATTTTCCTTTGGCTTTTTTTTCCACTTGGAATTTTCAGTTCATTTTACAAATTTTACATCATGTTTTTATAGCTTTAGCAGTCATTTTTCAGTCTGCTTTTTGGTTTTGGCTCTAGTGTGCCATGAGTGAGAAGGCCAACAGTCAGCTCAGAGACTACCAACACAGATTAATTTTATTTTGTACCTCACACTGCTAAGAGAGATCTGCAAAACTATGATACTCCATGATAAGGACCTCTTCTCAAAGCTGGCAGCAACCTAGAAACTTAAGATGAAAGTTTTCTAAGAAAGTAGGGAGAGCTCAGGAGATCTCACTTAGTAACCTTTTATATATTATTACTGTATAAGGTACTGTACGTAAATCAGGTTTTAAGTTGAAGAAAACTGTGACAAGGACACCAAATTTTGCTAACTTTTAATTATTTATTAAAGAACATGTATGTAAATGCCATTTGCTTTGCTGATTTTTTTTTTCTTCAAAGATTCTAAATAATGCATCTAATTTTTTTAATATGTACTTCTTGCTTACTACTATGTCTAAAGTAAATAGAAGATAAAGTTTCAGAAGTTTATGGCAATTACTTTGCAATGTTTTTTTTAGTCTATGTTAGACCACTTGCCAGCATTAGTTTCCAGGACAACTGGAGAAACCAAATCTATGTTGCTAAAATAAATTATGTTGCTTGTTTGTTTTTCTCTCAACTTTGGTTGTGGATTGCTCTCTTGTACTTGCTTATGCAACATTTTTTCCTCTGGGTATGTGTGAGTGTAGGTTTCATGTGTTTTACTGTGCTGCTTTTTTTGCTTCTCTCTCTTTGCTATCTATTTTACTCTCTTTCTTTCTTCCCCTAATTTTTTGTATCGCCAGGACCATATCAGCAAAAGGGTGTATCAAACTGTCAGATGCAATTTTAGACTGGAACATTAAGGAGTTTGTCTAAACAAAGTTATAGTTTAAATATTAGCAGTTTGCTCTGTATTGAGCTTCTTATTGTATTCAGATACACATATGCTCTTTCCTCCTGTCATTTTTTTTTTTTTACTGTCTCCTTATATTTCACAGATAAACCTGAAAACTGGGACGTGTGGTATGAAAGCAAGTTTGATGACTGTGATAAAGAAGCTTGTCTGTCCTTCTCAAAGGAGATTCTTTGTGCTCGTGTCACTGTGGACCACAATTACTATGCCGTTTGTCAGAACCTTTTATCCAGACACGCCACGTGGCGTGGCACTTCGGGGGGGCTCCTGCACGACCCCCCAGCTGAAATTGCCAAAGAGGGGCGCCTGGAGGCCCTGCTGGACGAGTGTGCCAACCCAAAGAAGCGCTACGGCCGATTCCAGGCCGCCAAGGAACTGCGGGAATACCTTGCACAGCTCAGTAACAACGTCAGGTAGTCCACAGCGAAACTTTTTTGCAGCACTGGCTAAAACACTCTTGCGAAGACACACAGAAAATGAAGTTTTGGACTTGCGTGTTCAAAAGAGAGAATAAAAGAGCCCCTAGTTTATCAGTTTCCTAAATACTGTAAAAACAGAATTTTATGGTGTTATAATGTTCCTTTGCAAACAGACAAGGTACTTACTGAATTAAAACTTGAGCTACTATTGACTGGTCTCCCTAACTGTTTAAAAGGGAGTAGGTCACAAAAGACTGTGATAGCTTAATTGACAGCTTGTGTGTCAAAGGGTACTTTACATAAAACTGCATTAGTGTCACAGTTTTGTGAAGCTGATGTTCTTACTTGGAAAGTCAAGTTAGACTGGTGGCCTGTTTTAAAGGCCTTTTTCCTGAAATCATTGTCTCATTTTTGTGTTTGTTTAAACACCTCGAAGTGGCATTTACATCCAGGTAAATCTAGCTTCTGCATTCTTTCAAACTGAACAGGCTTTCATGTTAATGCTGTGCAGAACATTCCTACTGTGAGTGCAGAATTCCCAAGTTTACTGTCTAATTTTAGGGGGTTTTACACTGTATTTTACTATACTTAGACATTGTGGTTTATTTCTTTAAAATCATCATAAACTCAAATGTCACTTGAACTAATATTCATTTAATGTCTTTTGTAGTTCTGCCATTGGAAGTATCACTTAATGTAACTGTTGTACAAAACTTTCCCTTCATGCCAGGATATACACAACTGTTTAGCAGGAAATCATGGTATGAGCTGACTCTTGTTTTTAACAGAGATAATTTGAGAGTGGGAGAAACACTACAATAAAAAGATCTGTATTAATTTAAATTGGGATAGAAGCTTGACTAAAAATAAAAATTCACTAGTCTGGTGTAGTTAAGCATAAACCAAAGAAAATGGTTTTATTGGTTTCTAAACAAATAGTAAAGAAAAAAATGCTATATTGTAGTGAAGTTAATAATTTTTCAAAATTCAGATTTTGGAGGTCCTTGGTTACTCTCTGAAGAACTTCTAAAACTGTGCACTTACACTAGAAGAAAACTCTAATCTTAATAATTATGTCAAGAAAGTTAGCAGTTCTACATCATTTCTAATTCTGTTGAATACAGATATAATGAATATTGAATATTCATTACATATTGAATACAGATATAATGAATACTGAATATTCATCTTTTGATTTACCAATAAACTGTACTCACTCTAGGTACCTTTTCTTGAACTAAGTTTGACTATTCCCTGTGCAGTTAAAACTGACTTGTTGAGGTTTGTGTAAATATGGAGTTGTTCTCATAAATTACAGTTTTTATAAAAACCTCAGTTACTGCTACAAGAACTCACTTCAAAGCTTGCTCCTCAGTTTTTGGTTTTGCCTTTTTTTTTTTTTTCTTCAACTACTATGCTTCATTTTCCTGAAGTCTTATTCATACAAAGATACTCTTAGGAAATGTATGCATATTACTTCTTGTAACAGTAATGAAGGAAACTTATATTTCTTAAATGTGTGTATCAGACAATATTTTGTACAAGCTAAACTGAATTCGGAGCAAGGTAGTGTGTGCTACTTTCAAGAGCAGAGTTAGGATGCCTCCTGTCCTGCATCAAAAAACTGATGGAACCTGTTGCTGCAAGTACAAGGTGAGGAAAATAGCAAACTCACTTCCTCAAAGCTCAAAGTGGAGCCATACAGAGATGCAGAGTGCTTTTTCATTTCTTAAGTCACTGTATTTTCAGGCCATAGTATAATGGTGAACATGGTGATGGTGCTGAGTTGATGGTTGGACTTGATGATCTTAAAGGTCTTTTCCAACTTTAACAATTCTGTGATTAAGGATATTTTATAATTGGAGATTCTCACTCTAAGTCATCATTACCTCTGTAGTCCTGATTTGCTCCCAATCTGTTGTCTTGTTTTCTGAAGCTGGAATGTCCAGTGCAGCTTTTAGTCTTAATTTTTCCCCTCATTTGAATAGTTTTATGTGCTTGTTCTGGCACAAGCTGTCAGAGGAGGTTCATGTTACTTTTCATCATAAAATCCTCTTAATTGAGGAAAATAGACTCGCCCTCAGACTAGGTACTACTACCCTACCATAGAAGCCTTGACTTACCACTAAAGTTGATTTTTAAACATGTACCACATTTCCCAAGGAGCGAGTGGAGTACGATTGTTGGAGTTGCGAAAGGAACAAACACTGCCAGTTGTGGTCATTACTTAAGACAGTTATGTAACTGTAAGAATGTTCTGTTACATTTTGTTTGGGGTTTAGCTCCTCCAGAAATAAGTCACTAAAGGTGATTATAAAAGGAATTTGGAACTTTAAGAAACCAAACCAAACCAAAAAAATAAAGAAAAAAACCCCAACAAAAAACCCACTACAACAAAAACACTACAGGGAAAACATTGTGGAGAGCAATAAATCTTGTTCCATTTGCACCTGTCAGATATTTATTGTACAATAACAGTTTATATTTTTAATCATTGCCCATTATTATTGATGAACATGGTGAAATATTTTTGAATGAGATGTTTGGGGTTTGTATGTGCATTAAAATTGTCCTTTTGTACTGTAAGTTACTGTTTGTTTGGAATATTTTATCAAAGCTGTCTCCCTGTGCCTTTATATTACAAGAAAGTTGTTTCTGCAACTTCTAATGATATTAATAAAGAATACTTTAAGAACCTCATCTCAGATATTTATTTTCAGATCAGTAAGTCCTTTAGGGTTGACTCAAGTCTAGGATGTGTTAAGACATACATGGTTTTTGTAGTGTTCCAGAATTGTACCATTGTCAAAAGTGACAGATAGCAACCTTTTTTTCCCTCCTCTTTTCTAGCAGACTTTTTGATCCAAAGTATGAATGATCTGTCAGGAATCACATACTGTACACTGCACTGGTGAGCTTTTGCTGGATGCAGAAGGGTCCTATGGCTGCTGGATGTCTTTGCAGAGTGGGCAAGCGATGTCAGGGCAACGAAGGGTCTGTCTTTTCCACAGCAGAGAAATCTGTTGTTGCCACTCTGGAAGTATGAGAAAGTACCTGTTTTGTGTGGTTGGAAATCTAGACAAATTTTAAGGACATTAATAATGAACAGTGGTGGGGAATAGTGACTTGCATGTTCAGATCAGAGCAGGAAAGTTCTGACTTTGAAAGGAAAAATATCTAAGGCTGTTTTTTATATTTGGTGAGTTAACTCCAGTCTCTTGAGAACAGCACTGTGAAGGCAGAAACAGGCTGTTGAATACACAGCTTCTGTTCAGGGAGGAAGAGCTCTCTTTTAGGGGTGAGTATAAGTCAAACAAGTTTAATACACATCTTTCTATTCTGAACGTGATAATTTTGTATATGCTTAACTCTTACTACATATTCTGTCTTTTGATATTATCAATGGAGGCTTAGTATATATATTTAATGTGTCCTTGATATAATGTCCTGTATCACTTTAAAGAAATGGTGTTTCTATTTTGAAAATATACTGCATTTTTGTTTTGTTTTTTTTTTTTTTTCCTCCAAAAGTAGTTCTGAAACCCCTCAAAATAGTTGAGCAGCTGATTTCATTGCTGGCAACCATTAATGCAGTTTAATTTTGACTTGAAAGTTCTCAGGTTCTTTGGTTTTCAGGCTGAGGCAGAAATGTGTGGTTTTCTGTAAAATGTAGCCGTTCTTAGTGGGCAGCTGTGTCACCTGGACCTTAACAGATACTTTTTCCTCACAAGAAAACTTAGTTTTCTTATATTGTGGGGATTTTTGGCAATTTCACATGTTAAAAAATTTGCTTACTGTGACAAATTAACATGCATTGTCCCTGTGGGAAGAAGGGCCTACAGAAAGATAATGACCAAAATTCTGTGGGGAAAAAAAATTGGAGGAATATTGCTGGGGAATGGAATGTAGGGAATGAAGGGAAACTTGCTGGCTTCAGTGCCTCACAGTAGAAAGTTAATATACCAATAATGGGCTTAATTTCAATTCTTCTGTAATATAAGGAACAGTTCTAATTGTTGATTTAGATACACTTATTTAAGAAACTATATGTTGATATGGTTGAGCTGAGCACACTTGTGCTTGCTCTCCTAAGGGTAAATTCAGAGCTCTGGCAGAAAGCAGATGTGGTTGTCAACAACTTTTAAGAGTTGCTCTCTGTTATTGACACCCAGCACACGCTTAGCGAGTGAGTGGGGGATGTTTGTACAGTGAGTGCACAAAGTTACAGGAAGATGGCAAAGCATACTTTGGGTCTTATTTTCTTGAAGCTCATTTCCTGCTTATGTAGTTCTGTTATGAATCAATATGCTTCAAAAAAATCTCATTTAATTTGCTCACTGTTTTATAAAAGCAACACATGTGAACACCTGGCAACTGTCAGTTTGTTTTACAGGAAGATGAGACTTGACAAAGGATGGGAAAACGTGTTCCTTTCTCAGAACACCTCCTTACATTCTTTGCTTTAGATGCTCTTGATTGTGTTTATTTTTGTTGTTGGGGATGTTTTGTTTAAAAACTTCCTAGTTTACAGAGGAGCAGAACTTGACAGGGAGGATAAAACCAGTTTAACAGATGTCCCTTCAGGTGTTTGCCTTCCCATCCTTCTCAGCTGTACATACTGATACAGTTCTCTTTTGCAGATGCTGTCAGCTACAATACTTTCCTAATTATTGTTCTAATTACTCTGAATCCTGTACTTTTTTTCCCCAAAGATATTATAAAAATTCTCATATTAGAATTTTGTTAACAACTTTCTTAGAAGAGGTGGTATTTTGTCTCTGCCAAATAGTAAAATTATGAATACATATGTTATTAAATTATGCTTCTCTTTGATCTTTATATATCTTGTTTATTTTCAGTATAATTCAGCACTATCATAGTATAAATAGACTGAATTTGCTTTCTGCTAACATTGCCTTTTTTTCTTAATAATTAATTGGCTATTGAAATAGAAGTATTAGGGTCATCTCATTCACTGTTCCTTTCAGGAAGGTGGGATTTGGAAAAAAAAGAAACTGGCTAATGGAAGTGTGGTGGTGTTCACTGTTTGAAATGTGAAAACTGTGGAAATTCAGACCAGTACCTAGGGTTACATGGCATATACTTGCTATGATGTGCACCTGCCCCAGAACCAAATATGTTACCAGAAACGTTTTTATCACTTTTGTAGCAATTCTTTGCTTGTGAACACAGCTGTCTGAATTTATAAAGGTTTATCATGTATATGACTGCATTATCCAGATACTTCAGCAGCACATACAGTGGGAAGGAAGCAAAACCTGAGGCTGTCCCCTGGGCATGGCCTCTCTTTCCCTGGCACTGCCATCTGCTCTTTCAGGGCTGTGGCTGTCCTGCAGAGCTGTTCAGTGCAGGAGGAGCAGCTTAGAATTGGAGTATCAGTGCCAAAGCCTCTACATCTTCACTGTGTCCATGTCTGAGATCTGCTGCAGCCTAAGCTGGGACTTGACTCCTCGGCTGAACACCTTCAGTATGTTTATGCTCCATTACCAGTTCAAATTTGCATGTATCTGATAGGCCTTGGAAGACACTCAGTGTGCAACATGGGTAAGAGCTTCTGGCTTAGTTTTCTCTGCAAAGAACCTGGTTCATGTACATCAACACTGCTCTGTGACCAAATCAACACCTGGAAGTGGGGATAGGATTGAGAGATTGATTTCAAATCTGCCTTACTCCTCCCAATCATGGTTAATGTACACCCAGACTCTGATAGCTAAAGCTCTTCACTAGGCAGAATGAGGATCCTGCATGGACTGATCTTCCCCTGAGTTAAGTTTATATATCATTTATCTATTAGTTTTTCCTGATGTCATAATCAAATTTTATCTATATACGTATTTTATCAAATGTATATGCATGTATATACCTTATATGTGTATTTGGCATAAGCTGCTATTGCAGAACTTGGATTGGACTTCAGGTTCTCAACTGCTGGTGTTTTACTCAATGGAAGTGTTTTACTTGTGGGAAGTCTGACAACTTCATTTCCCTGCCTTCCCTGCGTGACTTTGTTCATCAGACCTGATGTCTTAAGGACCTAAAAGCCGATCTTATAGTGGTGTTAGTCTGTAACA